CTGATTAAACTCGTTAAGCGAGGTTCCATATATATTTCATGAATTCGTAATAAAATACACTTATGTTCTTAAATTGATATCTGCTTAACCATTATTTATGTTGTGTTCTTGTATAATTTTCTCTCATATTAGTAATATGGTTTTTGCTTTCAGAATGAATATCTGCCGGCATTTTAATACAATTTGTTTGTAAACTATTAACATTATCAAAATGGTACACGGTATAATGAATGCAGTCGAGTATTCCTGTTTGTTTATAAACGTTTTCTTTGTGCGGCGGAGATACACTTGCCTTGAGGAAATTTTCATTTTCTCTGAATGAATTATGGAGATTATCTGAGATAGCGAGCGGTGGTAATTGTTATGAAAATTAATGTGTTTAGGATGATGTTTTATGTGGAGTCCGGTAATTATAATGCATTATACATCTGTTAGAATGCAGGATGAATCTATGAAAGGTCGCGTCTCGGGTATATTATTTTCTTCTGTTGTTGTCCGCTCGTGATAAAAGTGTTTGTTTGGGAAATTTAGTTTGTCGAACCCGAGATGCCACGTAGCGCCGATGTCCCTCAAGGCAACTTTCGCCTGTCTTCGACTATAAACATTAGACACAAATTATACACGGATATTTTTCACGTTCATAATGGGACATGCATTATTAAATGCCCTTCGCTTTTACCTTTTACCCTCGATGGGATGAGTAGCGTCATACATCGAGCCAGTTCATTCACACCATGTTAGAAGCCTGGAAGATGGTGATGCGAGAGGGAGGGAGCCCGTCCTTTATTATCCTCCGCGCATTTCTTTGTCCCACAAATTATTAGTATGGAGAATGCGCAGCACTTTAAGAGCACATACTCCGATTTCTATCGCGGCTACATTTTCTATTTAATCGCGAGCGGCGCAATCAATAATGCATGAAATTTCACTGATATAATTCAAATTTTTCCCGCGCCGCTCCAAATTATTGCGATCGCACGTGTTGTTTCCCGTCCTAGGTTTTTATTATTCGTATGGAATAAATTATGTTTTCTCTCTGCCGATTATAAGGATTATTCATGAGCGGACGCCACGCAAAGCGCATATCCAATTAGGATACACCCGCTTCGCAGAATTTGTTTTGGATTTTCCCCAAAAAACTGGTTATGCATGAAAACAAAAACGGTCAATTCTCGTCGAATTAAATGGTCGGACTCTCGTGCATTCGCGATAACCGCATGAAAAACATATAAATAATAATAAGGGAAAGGAGCGGCGAATAATAAAAGTTTATGGTGTAAAAAAGAAATCTGGAAATAAATTAAATTGAAATGATAATGATCAGCGGTGCCCCGGATTCTTTCGTAATAAGGAAACACCATTATTACTATTATTGCACATCTCATATCATCATTTGTGTCAGAAAATAAAGTAATAACAGGTACTAATTACTTTTTGAAAAAGTATTATTTTATATATAACATTACGTTGAAGTATGCATAATATTATTGCAATTACTCAATAACTCATGCTATATATCAGTGATTCCCTAAGTGGGCGCTGCAGCAATCCAGGGGATAGAAAAAGTAATACATATATCATTCGGTTTAATTGCTATTAATTTAAAAAAAATGTAGGGGGCGCTGAGTACTATTTTTTCTGGAAAGGAGGCGGTAGGCCAAATTAGTTTGGGAACCACTGGTTAATATGAATAAAAAGTCATTATAATAAACAATAATAAGAAATGGTAATACATAATAGATTTTTTAAATTTTTCTACTTTAGTATATTTATTTTATTTACTGCACATACAATTATTTTATATTATTGATATTCTATTTTATATATATATTTGTTACTGTCTTTTATTTTTCTATCACAGTATAAGATCATTTTGGTCAATTTCCGGTTGCCTCTCTCATACTAATATTTGTTGTATTGTTTTTTACATATTTAGTTATTGACCTATAAAATTATTATTAACACTCATAACAAATAAAAAACAAAGTATAATCTACATATCTAACGGCATGTTTGCAGATATGCATATATTTATTATGTAATTCATATACAATTAACGTTTCCTACGTAATTTTATTACTTGTTTATTACGCATGTATCTTAAATTATAAGGTAAAATTGTTTGTATTTTATTAAACGGTATAAGTCATTAGTTTCAAATTCTATAATTTAAGGAAAAATAAGAAAGAAACTAATAATAATATACTATTCAGATTTATTGTGAGCGTATTTAATCTATCTAAAGTAATTAATTTAAATATTATATACTGTGTTGTGATTTGCAGAATTAAATTGAATAATATTAAACTTATTATTACCCGAGTAGTTAATCGCGCTGGTCTAAAAAGTACACGAATTTTCTAAGATTTAATTTCTATATTTTCTTTCTCCCATCTATGATCCATGAAGCAACCTATGCTCAAAGTGTTTACTAAATGCCGGTGCAATAGTGTATTGACAGCGGCACAAAGAAGTTGTTTTTGTTCGTTTTTGCTCTGCAAAGACGATAATTTCACAAATTTTTATATTAATTATTATATTAATGTATTACAAATAGTAATAAATGTAACAAAAAAGCATAAGTTAATATGAAAAAGTTTTTTCTTGTCGCAATACAATCATTTATGCACTCCGCCTGGTAGTAATACAAGTGGTGTATAAAATACACCGCGCGGAGGTTAAGCATTAAATAACAAATATATGAACTATTATGGATAATATGAATCCATCTTAGTTTAGACGAGAATAACAAAGTTCGTATGTAAAATGTAGTACACTAAAATCATTTGCTAATTTGCAAATCAAATAAGAGTTAGTTAGTCAGTCGTGTCTCGCTAAAATTGTTGATCCATATGGCAGAAATAGGGCAGTAATCATAATAAAAAAGAATTGCCTCGCAATGTAAGCGACGCGTTCTGAATATCATTACAGATGTGAATAGAGCAACCCTTAGTCCGATTTCAAATTGCCTTCATAATAGTCCTAATGAACTACTGTACAACAAAATCAATTTCATTATGTGCCAGACCAATTTTCCTGCCTGGCCTTGTCATGTTGAAAACCATCCAACCTTGTTTCAATTTACCCTCTTTGTGCTTTCAGAGATCAGAACCACAATTCCAAAAATAGTATCGTAAGCTGATTATATTCTGTTAAATTCATCATTGAGATGTCTTATAATATTTCAAAATTAATATAATTAATTTGTGTTCATTTTATGGTGTGATTTTATTTGTTTTGATTTTAAGTTGATCATAAAATAAAATAATAAGAAATAATTGGAAAATATTATTGTTTTTATCAAAATATTATTGTCGTGTGGCATGTTTTCGTTAAAAACACAACAATTATATATTGTTTTTCTTCATATCGCGATTAATTGAAATTATCTTGTGTCACGTAACGTATGTACATTTTATTTCAGTATATATATAAATACATGGCATTGGATTTGATTGGATAACAATATTTAATGGAAAATTTATTGTATGTAATTTACCACACAGTGGTATCATAAAATACAAACATTGAAAATCTTTTAAATGAATACTCAGTTTTCATTAATACCATGCAATTATAATTATTATAAATTATACTAAATCAAATTGGGTCATCAACATGGTAATCTAATTAATAGACAGAACAAAATTGTTCGGGATAATAATATGCAGAAAACCCACTGACCGAAGTCTTTCAACCTTTTCATTAATAAAAGCATGTAAAATATTTAAACAGTTATTTTAATTATTCTAAATGATACATAATTTTAAATATAATTACATGAGCATATACTTTTTTTTAATTGTATGATAATAACGATTTTAACAACATTGACAACAATAATTTATATTTTAGATAATTATGAATCTATAATCGATTTTAGGGAAGACAATTAAAATTATTAAATATTTAATTATTCCAAATAAGTAAAATGAATTGTTTTTAAAGAATGCGAAGATTTATTTTCAATTAAAATCCAATTATTTGATCGTACATTTTTAGAACGTTTTATATTAGTAAATTATCTTTCCAAAATCCTTTCTAAATGTAAATACACGGATGACCTCCTTACTCCTCGCTAATCCTTTTTACGCGTTTAATAAAATAACTAGTTGTCAAAAATAATATATTATTATTAAATTAGTCGAATAGAATTACATATAGTATAAGAAAACATTAACAAATGTTAACTTTCACTTTATTAACCACTTTATGGTTAAGTTAATTATGAAAAATCATCCACTGTATTACAAATTGATTATATCATATCCAGTAGCGTCGCTACGATTGGACCTTCTTGAGATATCCTGCCCCTCACACATATTTTACCCCCGCTCATGTATTGTATGGAGCCCACTTCATATTTATGACTCAGAATCCTAAAGACGACACTGATCATATCCATGACACATGCTGACTGCTTGGGATATGCATTTATTATAACTAAAAGTCTCATAACTAATATAATATATTAAAACAAGTTGAGTCTATTTGAACTATGATTGTATTGAATAATGCGATTTATAATAAAAAAACTGTCAATAATAATTTGGACTTTAACAAAGTCTACTAATGCTTCTCGTCTGTTCTTGTATTGAGTTGTGTCACAAGAATAAGCTAACATTAATTGCGTGCTAGTTGCGCAATATGCTCTAAGCTTTATTAACCTTTTTCGGAAGTAAGGTTAATCAACTGGAGTTGCATAAATTTGTTGTGTGAGAAACGTTTTAAAAAAAATATCTTTTAGGACGTGATAAAATCTTTTGAGAAAAATTGTATTCATGGGAATATAGGAATAACGGTTCCAGGAGGAGTTAATTAATTATGTGTGTTTATTTTTGTACATTAAATTCATTCAAATTTAACGATGGGTGGTTAGAAATGCATCGATTTTTTTTTATTATTCGGGTTCACGCTGATAAACCGTAAACGATTATCGATCGTCCACAACAAACTAATTAACCTCTGTTTTTATTAATTGTTTTATTTCTTTCTTGCAGGTGGATACAAGGTGAACAAGGTGTCTGTTGCGGTGAAATGATGTTCAAAGTTTTACGCAAGTGCCGTATGTTATAAGAGGAAACAGAAACGTTTCTTTTTTTTTCGAACCGAATAAATACGAACAACGATAGCATCGCAGGTGATTCATTCGGTGGCTATCAATCACTATGACCGAGGATACCGTGGATGCGCCGATTCTGCTCGTGCCTTCGAAACCACCAAAGAAGATGCCTTCCATCGAGGCGCTGAACAGCGAAATGCCTGGAAGAATTTACCATAAGGAAAGGGGCAAGAGGGTCCTGAAATCATTCCTGAATAGGCTTAGGTTGAAACGCTGTGCCAGCGCAACGATCTCCCAACCAGATCCTACCTACAAGGTGGCGTACCTAGGAAACGTCGTTACTGGCTGGGCCAAAGGTGAGTTCGAGCACCTCGCACATCCTGCGGTTTCCCTACGATAGAATTCGTAATGCTGCGGTCTGTAGACTTGAAGTTCTTTTCGTGAAGACCAGTGGGAAATCATTCCACGGCAACAATTCGTTAATATGAATAACAAATTAAACTATTGTTCGATTATTTTATGCAAATGCAGTGCGCATTCATATTTCACAAAAGGCACTCGAGTGAAATAACTTTGCGAAAGGTCGCAAACCCCGATAACGCAAATCCAATCGGACCTTCCAGCGCATTTGGAAAATCCTGTGGTTACGATTGTGAACGGAAAATGTATGCATTCAATCGATGATGTAAACACAATGAGGCGCTTGCAACACTGCGGCTAATTGCGTAACGTGAATTTTCTTTTTCATTATTGAAGAACGTTACGACACACTTTTGCTTCAGAATAGCTGAGTATTTCCTGCGTTTTATATGCTGCTTCTCCACAGAATGTCATATCTCAGAATATTTAAAAATATCATAAATTTAAAATTACATCATAAAACCTCTTCTTATAAATTAAAATGTAGCTATAAGCACACAATAGACACACGAATAACAATGGTAGTAATAATTTGAAGTACAGCCAGAATTTAATTCAAATATAAATATGATTAACAACTAAAAACACTAAATTATATAGAAACATTTCACATGGACTTTGTTCCAGTTAATGATATTCAATGAGAAAACTTTGTATCGGCTCATAAATATGATTTAAATATTCTATTAATAATTTGATATACAGTGAAATCAATCCGTTACAGGATACAATTTGACTTTTGAGATAAATTTGTGGGATTTTATCTATAAGAAATAATCCAGAGCCCCAAAATGTAAACAATTTATTTTGAAATATTGAATTATAATTTTTAACCAGGATTAATTATTTTTCGATTTTCAATTTATTTGAACATAAAATCGTTCAAATTTATGGAAAATTGGAAACAGTAAGAATCGATTTGTTCTAAAATTTATTTTAGAATAAATTGTAACTTTTCTCTTATTGTAGAAATATTCAAATGTTTTTATTGTTACATCGGTCGGTTTCTTCTTATAACATAATTTCTAATAATGTTTATCTTTAGAATAAATAAGATCATTTATTTTCAAATTAGATTAAACGAAACCTCAATAAATGACACGTTTGTTGATGACACGATAATAATGTTTATAATTGAAACACTTACTTTGCATTACAACTGAAATTATTGCCTCGTTAACTAATTATTATTAACGCCTGTACTTTGATAGCTCATACTATGTTAGTAATTGTTTTTCAATTCTTGTAATTGTTTATCTTTTGTATTCCAAACTGCTTAGATTTATACTTATCGTGCCACTTGTTGCTTTTGAACAACTTAACTATTTCTCAAGTCGCTGCCAGTCTTGGGGCACCGACATGCAACAATTTCGAGTCACCACAACTTGGTTTGAATTATAGAAAATTGCTGAATATTGTATATTGTAACTTCACTATAAATATGATAATTTTGTAAAAATATCTATATTTTTTCTTTACAAGGTTGAAACTTCCTAATCTTTTCAATGGGAGTCACGGCATACGTTATTCAACAAATTTGGGCATATAATAGTGATTCGTGTTTCTAATAAATAATTGGATTGCCCACTCAGATCATTAATTAAATCATTATAAGTAATTTTCAAAGTCATCAATCCATTTAAAATTCGTGTCATTCATGGCAAGTTAGGAACTGCTTGAAATTCAAGTTCGCAGATTTAATTACTCGCAACGTAATTTACTCACATTTGCTTCTCATAAATACCAAATTTAAGGTCAAATCCTGCTGTTTATTCATGCATGATGTGCGAAGGTAATAAGATCATGCTATGAATTACAAATTTTAAATAATTTAAAATGAATTAATCTTTAGTAATTACTATCTACCGCCAAATATATTACGTGTACAATTTTTATTATTTCTCGATATTATAGAAATAATTTATTGTTCTCATTATTTCTGATATAATATTGATTACTGCTACTATAGTCAGTATCACTAAACAACCACTGAATTTAAATTAAAGAAAATGATCTTGACAGTCATTAAATAAAAATGCAACAATTGTAAGCAAATTTTAACCTAAATGTTGTGCCATTTATTATTTAAAATATAATACAGAGTAAGTCAAGGTAACATGTTGATACTGTATAGTAAAAATTTGAATATAGAACTTACAATTTAGTAAATCTGTTTACTTTGTTATTACCTTGGTAATTATAAAATATAATTCATTAACCTTACTACAAAATCTATCTCATACGTTTTATGTTAATTCATTTTTTATCTTAAGTTATTTGATAGTTGTTATTTTTCTTGTTTATTTCTATGAAAAATTCAAATGTGTGCATTTAAGAATGACTCAAGGCTTTCGGAAGAAAGAGATTTGATCTCGTTCGAGTGGAAAAATCAGGATTTGCCCTCTATTGAATTTTAAGGATTTCTGCTTGGCTGCCTCAAAAACCTACGCCTCACGACAAAGCATAACCGAAATAACAAGAGAGAGAACAAAAAAAATGTAAATACTCGCTGCGTGGGACTTTTTCGTCGTTTTTTTTTCTTCATGAAATTTTTTGAACAAAGGACGCAATAAATTTTAATTAAAGCAACACGGGATTCGGAATTAATCGTGAAATTGAAATTAATAAAGGTTAGTTAGATTGTTACGTTTCAGTATAGAATAAAAAGAGCACGGCGATATCGGTTTCCGTACGTTCAGGAATTTAAATCAATCCGTAAACGGTCTTATTATTACTTTCACAATTCAAGAGATTTCACCTGCCATTTTGTTTACCATTATTAAACTCTTGCACAGCTTTAGCACCAACAAATCAGGCTTAAAATTATTATGTTTTTCAATACCTAATGACTTTTTGTTTTGTTTTTAGTCTAGTGAGCAAAATATTTAGTTAGTTGGATAGTGAGAGGTATGAGAATATCTCTATAATATGAAACGTGCCATAAATTATTCTTTCCTTCCATTGTCTAGCGAAATAATGCGACTTGCTGCATAAGTATATGCATGAATACACTTATAATTGATTTATTTACTGCGGAACAATGTTTTAACTCCATACATTTTATGACTGATTTAACGCCAATGAATTTTATGTGAAATGTAAGCATTCTTTTTTCGTTCGAAAAATATTAATTCTCCGTAATTTTAACACATTTTGGTTATACAATCAACATAATATTCTTGTAATTTAATTGTTATCTATTTTTTAGAAATAAAATTAAGATAGTTTTAATCAAATTTGGTTATTGTGGTTTTTATAGCTCATACACTATATTTGGGTTTCTCCTAAGAAACATGGCAGTCACAACTAGGTGTGCAAATTGTACGCCGCACAAGGACGCCATACGCCCCATATTTTTTTTATTATCTATGGCGGCTTAAAAGGGGCGACGAGTTTTATTAAAATTTAAACAATGAGTTTTAAAATCTATATCAATTAAAATATAATAATGAAGAAATATCCGTTATTATGTCTAACTGTTCATGATAGATCAAAAATTGCTTCTTGATTGACTGGTGGATCACGATCAACTAGTTAGCCAATAGGGCCATTATAATAACTCAATAACATATTTGTTAAGTAATATACGTTTTTTATTAACTGTTAAAGTTAGATCATCATACTTGTTACCAAGTACTTCTGTTGATGTCTATTACTTTTTAAAGGACTAATACTGAAAATAAATAATAAACTACGCTCCACGATTACTTTATCAAAAACAAATGGAATGGCAAACCAATAATTTGTCTAAAAATGTTGAAAACAGTGTGCTAGTTCATTTATTTGTGAAATGCCGACTTGCTCGAAAAAACTGGTATAATTGAAATTTTCGAGTCAAATGTATTGTGGTCAGACATTGCGAAGACATATTTTTGTAGATTAAATAAGCATTTGGGATTGAATAATGGATGCTATGATAACGGTAGCCATTTTGCAAGAGGATTCTGAGGCATTCGCAGCGAAATGTAAATACAATGGAGTAGAGGAATGTTAATAGGTGCGATACGAAATCGCAATTACATCATTTATCCGCAGGAATTTTGAATATCGAGTTCAGCGCGAGGCCGTTTCTTGGAAGGAAATTTGATCCGCTGTAAAATGCATGGAGGAAGTAGTTACACATATACAACACATGCATCATCCGTCTATGCACTTGCATATATATTCTTCTATTTCTTCTTTCTAATTGTAAATAATTGCGACCAGACTCTGACACTCGCATACACGTCACGCTTATTATTATTATTAATTGCGCAAACAGTGATTGCATAAGTTCGAATCTGAATAGAATTTATGTTTTCCTGCTGAAGAACAAAACGTACGAGTCTTCAATCTTGCTGGTATTATTCTTCGGATCGTCGGAGTAGAACAGAACGGTGAAAGCATAACTTTTGGCTAAATTACCAGCGACGAGTTTTTAAACTGGGACACTGAGCGTTCTCATCTCGAGCCGTCTGCCTTCTTTATCATTCTTTCATATTCTTTAACACAACATTCAGCAATGTTGTTTTTTTTAGGATGCAGCAACGTGAACGCATTCTCAAGGAGATCAAGCATTTCTGAAAATGCTCAGAAAATGGGCTTGCATTTGAATTTAATTCACTATGTATGTTTTATCATACTACAATTTGACACACTTTTCACCAGAAATCCAAGGTTCCACAGAGAGAGAACAGCAACTTGTTTTCGATTTTCTTCTCTTCGTTCGTGCATTGTAGAATTTGATATTCACCGAGCGGATACTGGATATCATAAATAAGCAATTACTTCTAAAAACTCCTTTAATCGAGGAAATCGTGGAATGTTTAATGAGTTCCTCAAATGCCAATGTCAATTTCCTGGCCTTCCCTGGTATCTAATGGAAACGGCATACACAAAATAGAATCGATATGTTTTCGGCCGCAATGCCAAAGTCAAGGATCGTTCGTTGTTTTCCATTTATTTGGTATTAACCTCGTCGATCATATACGGAAATAACATATACGAACATTACATTAGAATCATAATAAGCGCTAATAGATTTCAAACATGTCAGCAAGTTTTTCATTGTTATTAGACCAGGGTCAATGATTACCGGCTTCATCATTTATTTCTAAATTATTTAAGAGCTCGATTTATAGCGCTATTATTTGCTTTTTATTATACATCCATCCACAAGCTTACCTATTTTATGTGACTTGTTTTTTCGTTTCAATGCTCATGTAATTACTTAGGATGTTATACTTGAGCCATTAGTCTTAGTTGGGTTTTTGTTTTTGTTCACCTAATAAAATGGGTTAATACTCATGTTCTCAATCATTTGATGTAGACAGCTCATCATCTGGATGTAATGCAGCAAGATGCCGTTATAAGACTTATCGATGTAAGACTTATACTCAATATGTTGTAATTATGATCTACTGTACATCTTTGTCTATTAATATTTCTTATTGTGCATACAACATTTACTACTTACTTATTTAGGTTGAAAAATCCAAATACATAAATTGAGAAAATGTATTCAAGATTAGAGAAATTAGGAGATTAAGTTTGTAAGAAATAAAAAAATGATTATTATTTGATTAAGATGTTATATTTCTAAAGACTTGATTCATGTTATTACGTAAAATATTTAATAATGTTTTTGGTGATATAAACAGGTATTTCATCTGAATATATATTAGAATTTATATAACCTCTATTTTATAAATAATTAAATTATTATGAAATGTTTATCATATAAGCATTTCTTACATGTTCAACGATAATTTAAAAAAAAACGATGAATAAAGTGTAAAGTTTCCTTTTACAAACAATTGTGTTTCCGGAAATACATGTCTGTTATTATTTTTGTAAGTGGTCAGATATGCTTAATCGCGACAGCATTTCATCAACAATTTTGAACTTTTGTTTAACGTAAATCACAATTATATTCTGAAACGTATACAAATATTATTAAGTTATATAATTACACTAATTGCTATCCGTTTCTAATGATTCTGGAAAATCCAAAGATGATAATTTCAATGCAATCAACTGTTTGCGTCATTTGTTGAAAATATGTAATTTCCTCATTTCTATCTAACATTTTCCTACCTATCTATACTGAAGATGCTTAAATGTAACAAGTGAAACAAATATAAAAACTTTTATATGGAAATGAAGTATGTACAATTTACTTATTTGTATACATAAAAATACGTTAAAAAAACTGCAGTCTTTGAAATTATTATTTAATAAATCTGCAATCAAATACTAAAGCATTTCAAGTAAAACAAGGAAGTGTTTTGCTCGGCGTTACGTCTATTAATTATAAGCGCATTAAAATATAATATCAATTATGTTTTGCAACTCGTATCTTAATGTAGGTTACTCAACATCAACAATCTGCGAGAGAAATGCGCGAATTCCAGCCGCAACGCTGTACATAATATCTTGAAACAACGTTCACATCTAACGTCCTTATACAAACACTGATTAGGCCTAAAAACAAACAAAACACATAATTAATTAGGTTTACTCATAATCAGAGTTATGTCTAGACTTATCGTCGAATAACCTCTAAATCTTTAATACGAAACGAATCAAATAAATATTAATTCATTAATTAATACTTTTTATGTTTGAATTCGATAGCATTGGTAAAAAGTGTCTGCGAAAAAGTTCGTGAAACTTGAATTTTATTATTTTTTGTTGCATTTAGTAGCAGCATTGTGTATTCGTTTAACCTTGACCAATATGTGAGATGCGCTCGGAATGAAATCCCCGCTTTTTTATATATTCAAAGTGTTGAAAGAAAACAGCAAAAGCGGAAACGGATGGAACGAGATGCTAATAATTTACACGCGCGCATTGGAATTGTTTGTTTTCGTGTACTGATTCGCAAAAATAATACAGCAATTCCACATTCCAAATTCTATATATTTACTTTTTCCGGTCGCGGGAAACTTTATGTTTCTTATTTAAATTTCGATAAATAAATTTCACATTTGCCGTGCAAAATTGCAATTTATTACTGTTACTTTATCCGGTTAATCAAATGAAAATGAAACCTAATTAGTGTCCGAGGCCGGAGATAATTTTATATCGTCATTTTTTTTGTGTGTTCTTTCTTTCGTGTACCTTTAATTATTTCGATTTTGTTTGGGCTCGAAACAAGTGTAAATATTGGTTCAACCTTGACGTCCAATAATGCTGATTACGCAACCGCGCCACCGAGAGGTTTTAATCGAATCAAATTGTTTATAAACCGTACAATGAATACATTACAAACCTGAATGGACTCCAACGTCGGTTGTGGAATTCATCTACATAAAACTCCTGCAATACTTGATATTATCACTTTGGTGTATATACATTTATGTTATTGCAGTGCATTTGAGAGTATTGCATCGGTGATTCTACGTACACTCTATATATAAATACTGGATTTTATTTCATTTGCAGTAAAATCTAATGTTCCCTCATCTACATATACGATATAGCGATAAAGTTTCTGATAATATTAGAATTTTCGTATATAATTTTCATGTGTTTATTTTAAATTGTAGAAAACATTTGTTAAACTATTGAAAAAAGTAAAAAAAAGATGGAAATATGAGTAGTATACCAATCATAAAATGTTATTTGAATTAACAGAATATAATTACTTCTTTAGAAAAACTTTAAAACCTGTAAAATTATGTAATATATTTTCAATAAGTTCAACATCCCTAAAATATTATAATTTTTCTTGTTGACGTATTTCTAAATTACCCTGTACAGTGAAACCTCGCTTAACGAGCACTTTGCATAACGAGTATTTCGCTTAACGAGAAAAATTAATTGTAAGAAAAATGACCTACTTAACAAGCGATGTTTCGCATAACGATGAGAAGAAAAGTCATTTTTAAAACTTGTGTACACATATTATGTGTATTTTTAATATATTTGACTATACGAGTATTTCACTATACGAGTAAAAATCTGAAAATCTTGGAACGGATTAAACTCGTTAAGCCAGTATATAAATGTGTTTCACTGTATATAAATGGACTCTGAATTCTGTATATACAATAATTAAATGAAAAAAATTTCATGTGTTGACCGAGATCATATTTAAAGAAAACATTAGTGGATAGAACAAGAGGAATGACAAACCAGCGAATAATACTGTAATTTAGTTATTTTCTCTCCTGAAGGTCGCAACTTAATGAAATGATGTTTATTAGGGTATAATTCTGATTTTCGATAATGTCCAGACACTTGCTACTGTAAAGCCAATTCGGTTATGAATATGACCTTTGCGTGTCGCCACATGAATATTACGTACATGGAGAACATTCAATGAGAAATGTAATTGATCCAAATCATCATTACATTATTTACCTTCCATCGATTCTTAAATGAAAGAAGACAGAATGTGGATGCAATCGTACAATTGACGTTTGCTGTTTGACGTCTCTATTAAAAATCATAGTGAAAGTTAATAAAAAGCATAAACCATTTTCAATTTCTTTAAATTTATGATAAAATGTTTGTTTTTAAGTTATAGTATATGCGTTCACATAATAAATGTATTATACAGTCTGTTTTCATATTTAATCAAGTTTACAAATTTAAGTTAAATATGTAACATTGAGCCAATGAACTTTACAGCTAAAGTTAATTAAAGTAGATTAATGAATTTCAAATATTGTTACTTATATAATTCAGTATTTCTAGTGTAAAATGTGTTTATTCGTTAGTTCTAACACGCGATAAGGCGTGGTTGGAAATACCTGGTTATTATGTGCAATTGTTTTTCCTCTGAGAACAAAAGTTGATGATGATTAATAAATAACAATAGCTATTGCATAATTCTCGAAATCAAGTGAATCGTGTACTTTCGATTAAAATATATTCGGTGTTTGGTGAAAGAAAGTAGACGGGTTGAAGAGACGACATATGGTTACGAAGCACTTGTTCCATTTCCTGTTAACCTGTTTACTTATTCGCCCCTTTTTCTTGGTTGTTGCAGGTGAAGGTTGTGTGGAGAAGCCGTTAGCGACCCTCTGGCGTAATTACACGCAATCCTCCCGTCCAGACGTCCGAATGCAGTTGAGCGTTAGCGGGGGCGGTTTGAAGGCAACCACCCGCGATCATGGTCTTACCGAGTACTGGGCTCATCGGCTGACCACCTGCGCTGCCCCATCGCAGTTCCCTCGTCTCTTTTGCTGGGTCTATAGACACGAAGGGCGTCGCCTAAGACACGAACTGAGATGTCATGCCGTGCTATGTCCATCCGCTTCCGTTGCCAGACAAATCGAAGCGAAATTGAAGGAGTCTCTGGCTCTAGCATTGACGGAATTTCGAAGGGACAAGATTTCCAAGCAGAACGCCCGCCTCTCGCTCGTAAACTCGGTATACGAGAACCCAACGATCCCGAGGCGCAAGATTCTTCTAAGCACAGGTTCAACGAATTACCGACCTCCTCTGGAGCGATCCAAATCTGCTCCGAAGTTGACCATGATCGAGGAGAATCTAGAGGAAGATGAGGAAATTTTCGAGGGTCGTCCGCGGAACCCCAAGATTCTGAAACATTGTGATAGTGTTGGTGCAATATTAGAAAAGAGGAACAGTTTGAGGAATATGCTCAATTCTACCAAAACGATATTCCCGATCGACGAATCAGAAGCGGACGAGAAAATGTTCGAGTATTCGATGGACGACAGGAGCGAGTTAATACTCGGTAAGCTAGTCGAAGATACGTTTGCGAGTGATCTTTTAGAATCTTGTAACATGGGCAACTGGTTAAGAAACTACGAGAAACCTGACGACGAGGGCTCATTGTCGAGCGGTTGCGAAAGCGCCAGCACCGTAACCTCAGACAATGATCAACCGGGCTTCACAGTCATCTTGGAGGAACTCGACGAAGAGTCGGAAAATAAAAAGGCTGAACTGGACTTCAAGGTCGGTGGTTGCGTGCTCTCCCGCGTGAAAAGTTTCGAGAAAACCGGCAAGTATTGCACGCTGAACAACAACTTGCTGGAGCCGGACGAGGTATCCCTCATCCCAGTCGGCGAATCGCATCCAGACTTTAGTTCGTTGAAAGTGTTTAAGAAAAGGTGTTCTCTCACGGATCGGCCTTTCGACGAAGAGGAAGGTTCGGAGGAAGAGAACGGTAGCGCCTGCAGCGACGAGAGCGGCTACGACGAAGTCATAGACTGCGCCAGCTCCGTTGCAAATATTGTCTTGGTCTAATTCCACTGGACCCACTTATATTTTCAATTTTAAAACAAAAAATAATCCAAAGAGTTTCCAATATTATTCAATAATTAACAAAACTAATTATAGCTTAGTTTGTAAACAGAGATACATTTATTATTGTGACTGATACATATTGCTACATTACTTTTGGTAATTTCCCAATTGATTATTAGCGGTTTATTGAAACTAAATATTGACCTTTTTATATTAAAAAAGTTAATATTTAAATTATTTTTATTTCTATTTTTAAAGACTTTTATTATTATATATATAGACCTATTATATATGTTTAAATGAATAAAATTATATTGTGATGGTATTTAATTAGAATGCACATGTAGTGTTGTTTAATGAATTTGCCTGTTTCTGTTAAGAATGCATGTTTCGCCTGTTGAGATTAATTTAATCGGGCAAATTATTTAAAAAGCAACTTTTTTCATTTCTATTTCTAAATTGGAAATATGATTATCGAATTGTGATTATTCATATTTTCAAATATGTTTGGTTGCACATTTCTAATATGTACCTCAATCTTGAAATAAATTGTATTTCATTAAGTATTTACTTGGGTTATTATTTAATCAAACAATTTTCATCACATTGCAAGGGTTTATTATTAACAAAAAAAAAATCTAAAACGTCATTTGCCGTCCGTTACTTCGTCCTTTGTTTGTACTTATATACCAAAGGAAAAATGAGACAATCTAAGAGGTTGGCTTTTCTTCTGTTGTATTTGTTGCACCAGTGGCCGTAGATTTAGTATCGGCTTCAGGTGTGCTTGCACAGGCCAACGCCGGAAATTTCTCATGAAGAGCTTGTCTATACTTAGGATGACTAAAAGAGAATATCTAAAGTATAGGCTTCCAAAGATTTAAAATTAATGTGTACCTTATTCCATAGACGATAGGATTGTAGACGGCATTGGCTTTGGCGAAAAGCGAACACCAGATGGTTTGCAGAGGAGATAGATTTCCAGTTTGGAAAATGCCCAAGAAGTTGGTCACTAAGTATGGTGTCCAAGCCATAAACCATAATGAAATCGTCATGAGGGCGATCTTTGCCAGTTTGCACTCAGCACTGGTTTGAGCATTTTCGGATGACCTCAGAGAAGCAACGTTCATCTTCTTAGCTTGTTCCCTCATAGCTTTTTCGTGGGCAGAAACAGCCTAAAAACGAAATGAAAAGGAATAAAAATTAAGAGCTTCAGAGCAATTCTCAGCTGTCAACTAACTTGCACAATAAACCAGTATGAGTATATAATTGTGAAGAGTGGCAAGAAGTAAACGAAAACAGAATAAACTAGGATGTAACTTCTGTGAAACCATTCTGTATTCAAATAGTCAGTACCACAAGCAGTCATATTTCCTTCTGGCACATATCTGCAGGAAATATTTTAGTCACATTTTCATTAAACGATTTTTTTAATTTACCTATTCCATCCGAATAATGGTGCAAGTGTCCAACCACTTGCAAATAACCAAACAAAGATTATTTTTATGAGTGCAGTCTTGATTGTCAAAGGTTTTCCACTTAATCCTTTAACAATGACGTTGTAACGGTCCAGAGCAATCAAAGTCATAGTCCAAATGGATGTACAGCCAAACAGGGAGCCAAACATTCCGTACAGCTCGCACATGAATGGACCTTAAATAAGTTTATAAATGAAAAAATAATGATATTATCAATTAATAGATATTGGTACCGAGAACCCAAGTTTCGTAGTAGCAGTTAATAACCATAGTAGGAGACATGCAGAACATCATACAGAGATCAGAGAACGCGAGATTCATCACCAAAAGATTAGAAGGAGTTCTCAGAGATTTCGTACTGCTGAAAATGTATACCACCATGCCATTTCCAGTGATGGAAACGAAGCCGAGTACTCCGATCATGAATCCCAGAATGGCGTGCCATAATGGGTTCATGGGTGGAAACTGATACCAATGTGGTGATATCATGTGTAGCATTTCTGGAGGTACTTTATCTACGACTGTAATGTTACCGCCAAACCCACCGGACATGGCCCTTTGGGCCGACCAGGCGGCGAAGCTCGGTTCACCCATCACAGACATATTGGACGACGTCGGATTAAGTAAAAATCACGTATCGTGGATCTAAAATTGAAATATTTCTTATTAGCTGATGCATATACGAAGCAACTATAGTTTACACTCACCGCAACAAATATTTAAAATTTGTTGGTTCTCTTTCTTTGCACCTGCCGAGAGCTAACTTCGAAGACTACGGCTTGCTTATTTGCAGCAGTTCTTCTTATTTATATACTCATTATTTATAAGTTTATAATTTAATAAGTCTAATCTCGTACCATCTAAGATGCAATATGTAAGGAACTAAGGTTTCTTTACTAATTTGATTTTAGAACAATTGAAGGACACATATTGGATTACTTTTCTAAGACAACATATTTTAGATTTTATTGAAAAATATTATTCTAACCAGGTATAACTATCGATAGCCCCTTGGTCTAGAGTGAACCAATAAAAAATGATGAAGACTTGTAAGTTTCGTACGATAAAATCTTAAGACAATTGTAATTAATTTAAATCAATTTTTGGAAATTGTAAGTCTAGAGATATAGTAAATACAGTGGAATATTATATTAGATAACTCCTGTGATTGTCAAATCCATTCATATTTACATACAAAACAATATGAAAAGTCGCCCGATTAGTCTCTTGTAGCAATAAATAGTTCATTTCAATTGAAAAATGCCAACCACAAGAACGATTATGCTAGTCTATGAATTTGTATAAATACAGTTTTATCCCTTCCAATTTTCCGAATTTTTTACACGTATAGTGAAACATATTAAAAAATACGCATAATATATGTACACAAGTTTTAAAAATAATGTACCTGGCGCGCAATCCGAGACTTCTCTTTTCATCGTCACTCGTTTTGCAAAACGTAGATTGTTAAGCGACTCATTTTTCTTACAATTAATTTTGCTTGTTAAGCGAAATGCTCGTTATGCGAGGTGCTAGTTAAACGAGGTTGCACTGTATATATTTTTATCTTGTAAATTATATTATTTATTGAAACATACAACAAAAATACAGGTTAATATATAATAACGAAAGTATTATCAATAATTATTATATGTATATTTACTAAACATTTTATTTACAACACTAAAAAAATCTATAAAATATTAACGGTTTCCAGACAATTTTAATAATCAAGTCTGCTTTCACCGTAAACCTCAAACCCTCACTACCCCTTAGGTATATTCGGAGAAAAATAAACAAGTTGATCTTTCTATTGATTCTTTTAATTGTACTTCCAAGTACCCAAGTATGTATAGAAACTCCAACAACCATTTTAGGAAAAAAAAAATGTCCGTTTGTGTATTAAAAAATATACCCATAAGCAACATTAAAATGTAATTCTCAAAATTCATAAATGCTACAAAGCAATAATAAATGCAATTAGATTAAATCCAATACTTTAAAATGTATTAAGTATTATTATATAAGAATTAAGCGTAGGAGATTATTGATCTGCTTCGCCTAGATGTAAACTATTGATCCAAACCTTAGTGCCATGACTGTAGTTCCTTCTAAAAATATTTTTAACTTTATTTGTAATTGACGTTCTGACATTTAGTTAATTTATAAATAATTTGCAATATACCTAAAATTACAATATAGAATAATTTAAGTGATAATATGTAATTCCATGAAATATTATGAATTTAAAAACATAAATGAGAACAGTTATAACATCATTTATATATTTCATTTTCGTTTTAGGCAGAATAATGACTTTCCATTTAACGAGGGTGCAGAAAAAATATTGATCTGCATATACATTGCATATACAATATACATATTATCCATTCTCCCGCTAAAAATTTGAAATATGCTGTACTTTTCGTCTATGTAGGGGTCGCAGCTGTCGGACAGCGCTTGCGCGTTTGTTCATTTACAGGGAAGTGACGCCACGCTTTATATAAAAGCGTCCATTTTCCATTGAGACGCCATCAGTAACATTTCAGGCATTCATTTGTGTTATAGTGTTTATTTATATTTGTGACTAGTCGCTTTCGAAATAATGTGAGTATCAGTGCACAAGTTGTTTATAAATGTTTTTGCAGTATTTGAAAGTGAATTTTGTTATGATAATTATTATATATTGATGTGACGCACCGGTCTTCAAAACCCAAGCCAAGTCATTTGATTAAGACTTTTGTTTTAACATTTTCGGTGACTGAAAAGTTTAAACATATATTCATGTTATTGTTTATTAACCTAAAAAAGATGAATTCAATTCCGATTCGTTCTATTTGTTATTTTTGCGTATACTAAATTCAATGTTACATGGCGTCGGATCAATGACCTCTAAGCGTGGGTTACTATCGATTTTGCACTTGATTTACATAATGGCTTCTTTAACTGATTTCCTTATTTATTCTATTAGTACGACAATGGCTGAAAACGCTTCATCGGGACAAGCCGCCAACACCCAACAAAATAACCAAGTCAGGAACCAATCTGGATCCAATGGCGGCAACGGAAACAACAGAGGACGCGGTGGACCTCGCGGAGGTGGACGCGGTGGATTTATGCGTGGACGGTAAATAACTTTGATACAATTAATGTAACTTGAGGGACATTAATTTGTTGTATTTATTCAATTTATTTAAATCTACATATTTTTTTAGTGGTGGTCCAGGAGGTCCTATGGGTCGTGGTGGACCCATGATGAGAGGTCGTGGAGGTCCCCGTGGTGCCATGCGTGGAGCACCAAGGGGCAGATTCCCACCAGGTGGTGCCCCTCCACCACCAATGGGTGATGGACCTGGCCCAATGGGTGAGAATGGTGGTCCCCGTGGACCTCCCTCAGGTTTCCGTGGTGCTGGACGTGGTGGTCCAGGTGGTTTCAGAGGCAGAGGTGCCCCAAGAGGTCGTGGCGGTCCAGTAGGTGATAGGATTAACCGTATGGGAGGCCCAGACAGGATGCAAAGGCCTGGTGGTGCTCGTCCCAGTATGCCACCACGTGGACGCGGTGGTCCATCACCAAGTGGTGGCATGCAGAAAAGAGGTCAGGGTCCCATGCAAGGAGGACCAGGACCCAAGAGGGGAAGGTTCGAAAATGGTTCTTCTTCAAATGGCTTTGGACAAAGGTATGTTAAAATTGTTATTTTTAAGTTACAGAATAAAAATATTAATAATTTAATTGAAAATAGATCTCAAGGAGGAGGTTTTGGTGGTGGTAGTGGCGGAAATCCAGGAAATCAAGGTTATGGCCAACAGCAATCCTACAATTCACAGTCTTATGGACAACCTCAATCATATGGTGGGCAAGGATCTCAAGGCAGTGGTGGATATGGAGGCGGCGGTTATGGTGGTGGTGGTTCCAACCAATATGAAAACAACTATCCTAGCAACAATTACCAAGGAAACAATTCAGGGTATGGACCAAGTGGAGATGCCTATGGTTCACAGGGTTATGGCGCCCCATCTGGTCCATCAGACTATCCAAGTGGTGGTGGTGGAGGCTACAACCAAGGCGGTTATGACAACAGAGGCGGATATGCTTCCGCTGGCGGATATGGTAAGTTTATGTCACATTTAAATTGTAATATGTCTTGTTTGTTTATTAATGTTTGAATTATTTATATATATTACTAATATGAAGATTTTTACAATGCAGATTCTCAATCCAACTATGGATCAGCACAAGGGGGTTATGGCAAGCAGGATTACGGTAAGTTTTTTTGATTTACTTAAAAAAATAATTTAGAAGTCATGAAACATTTATTAAGAGTCATTTAAGCTCAAAAGAATATTGAATAATACAAACCACTATAAATTTATTCTAGTTGGAAATAAGAGAAAAGTACTGAAATTGACTTGATTAAGTAAATTGGAAGTACCAAAGGAATGGAAATATTTATTTCTGTACGAAAATATTAATTATAATAAAATATCAATTCATTAGTTTCAAATAATTTTTGAAGTGACGGTTTTTGTTTTATAAAATTTACTGAATATTGCAACAACATATTAATGAAAAACTTTTGAAATCCATATTTCAGGTGCATCTAACCAGGGTAGACGATATTAAACAAAAGACACTTCCAACTTGTGGCTTTAATTTATATCCCATAAAATTTAGTAGAATTTGTATTTCTTTTAATTCTATATATACAAATCATATATATACAAACATATATTTTACACACAAATGAACGATGAAAGTGTATATTGATGTCCTTCAACAATGGACAAATTTTAAACAAGAAAGTATTATGATATGCAAATAGGAATATTTTCTTATTGTCAATTAGATAAATGTTAATTCTCTTTATTATTTTTATTATTTTATTTTCATTGACTGTCTGGAGTTTTATTGATGTTTTTGAATGAGTGCATTATTGATATAAACTTAACAAATAAATTAGTTATGAGAGGATATAAATTATCAAGCAAATGAGGCAGTCCCACAGTTAGTTAGTTGATGTTTAAGCTACAGTACAATTTAATATTAATTTAAGCTGAATCTGCCTCATATTTATTTAGTCTACCCTGCTTTCTATACAAGGAATAACAGTTCTTAATTTAATATATATACTGAGGAAAAAAATAACAATTTTTTGAATGAGTGGGTGGCAAAAATAGAAATGTAATTTGTGTAAGAATGTATTTTGAATTAAGTTAATGTAAATAAATGAATTTTATATCAAAAATCAAAGCTGATGGCTGGCTAAAGGGTATTCTGGTTTCTTCTTGTGATGCATCCACATTCAAAGAAGAATATTTCTTAACCTCATTGCAAATTATATGCAAAGACAAATAAACATCCCCTATAAATCCACAAAAAAGATTTTATTTTTTCAAAGTGATAATGTATTCAGCAAAATAAGCTAAGTACATTCTAACATTGAGACATTGACTCTGGAGCCTTATATTTAAACCAAGTGACATTGAAAGTAAATAACTTCCCAAGGCTGGCGAATATGATGGGCTGCTTAAAATAATATCCAACAGATCAAGGAGAGCGATCTTAGTGTAAGGTGTGACAAATTTATTACTTTATTTTATACGTAATTGGTTGGATTCAAAATAATTAACAATTAACTAATATATTGTCAGGTTTCAAATTTATTTTATGTCAATCTTGTCAAATAGAGAAAATCTGATTATCTGATCTAATAAAAGATAGACATTTTCTATATTATGTATACCATATAATGGAAGTCATATTTATATTGTATAATACATTGACTGATCAAAGCTAAGAAGTCTGATTTCCAGTCAATTAAAAACTTTCAGTTAAATATTTTGAAATCCACCAAAATAAAATATACAAATAAAAAGCAATTAACAAATTAAATGTAAGTACAAACATTATTAGCGTAGATATATATATATAAATATATTCCTGCAATAATATTAAAATTGACCAACACACAAAGTGGACAAAAGTGTTTCTACTATAAACAACGTTCTATGAAAACAGATTTTCGATGAACATAACTAACTTTTATATTATTGCAACTCATTAATTAATATTTCTACATTTATTTTATTTGTATCATGGAAACTATCTCTTGGTATTTAGTTCTTTCTTCAAATGTCCACCAATACATTTTATTATTTAACAAAAAACTTATGAGAAAGCAATTGATATATAAACAACGTAAGTATGAAATAGCATTATGCAATAATGCATTTATATTATTATTATTTTTATTAACAGTTTATTTCTTTACTATTTATCTTTTTAACTAATTGTACAATATATAGTAGAAATAACTTTTTTCAGGAATTTTACTTATTTGCTGTCACAGCAAGAAAACTATACATTTGCAATATAAAAGCTTCTCCAGAACATAAACTATGCTCTCTAAAGAAGTATTACTATTTTTTTCTGATTTCTATTTTTTTGTTTTGTTTATTTTTTATTACGGAAAATAAGATTAACGTTGGAATTGCTCACTAGCAAAGCTAGAGTATCTGCATCGCTCATTAAACTGAACTATATTGAAAAGATACATGCTTGAAAATTATATTAAGCAGCCAAAGTACTTAATAATCAATTGGAATTAAGGCAATACTTTCTATAATCAGAATCATATGGAATTATATGAACGGGTTGTGCATAATAGGTAAAGTATTTCGTTCATTGCAATTTTCTATATATATAGACTCGATGTGCATATTTTGTTATAAAGTATTATATAAACATTAAATAAATATATGCATGCTTAAATGTTCAGGAAAAAAATAATAAGTTAAATAAAACGTAAATTGATGCAAAATGTGTATTTGCATGATATTGTTGATATAAACGCAATATTATTTATGCACTATCTCAATGTTGTTGATAAAAGTTGTAGATATTTTTTGGATTATTCTATATTGATATCTTTTTATTCTCAAATACTTCAATGTCAATTACTTTTAATGTTTAAACAAATTACATGTATGTTACTTTTGTATTCAATGAGCTAATCTTTGTTTTTCTCTTTAGGTTGATAGTATTGCAAAGTTCTACGTAAATTTTCTTGGAATCCGCATTCTGGATAAGGTACGGTAAGATCTTGCTATTAAAATCTCTTCAGAGAAGTTCTTTCGAATACTACTCTCGTGGAAAATGGTTCTCGTTGATATAGTACTCGCAGATTTGGATATTTAATCTTTCAATTTCAGGCAATAATGTTTTCATTACAGAACATCGGTTAATAAATATTCATGCATAAAATATTATATTTTCTTATCCTTGTATCCTTTACCTTTAATAAACCATCATGTTTTATATATTTATTTGATGTATAGTTTAATATATAATGGAGTCAGTCATATTTATTAATTAAATTATATAAATTTTCAATATAAATGTTACATAAAGAATCAATGATAGGTCATAGGTTTAAAAAAGACAATGAAATAATTTAGGTTATCTCAACATTTATTTTATGAATGTGTTAGATGTCTTTCTTGCTATCTCGTATATTTGGTTGCATACCGTGAACATGCATGAACATCTTCATATTGTACATCAACTACGTAGCCTACATTTTAATTGAATATAGCAAAGATTGCCATTTGTACGGTATTTTTAAAGCGTCCGGTAGTATGTAGCAATGTCACTTCAATATTTAATATTGAATTATTGTCTTTTTATTATATTAAGTTAAAGTGAACTCACTTTGGTGTTTTGTACTCCTATTAAGAACCATACTTTAAAACTACCCATTTTTATTTTTTTTTCAAATTTTGAACATATTCAACTTAAAAATATAAAATTATTATGGTATTTCTAATCGTATTGATTACTGAAAGCTAATTTCAAAATGCTGAATTAAGTGCAGAAATAGTTACATCGAAGATTACCCTTTCAAAAATTAAATGTTTATATATATGTAAATTTTCAGAATAGAGAAGAATAGATATAGATAAATATAGAATTAACAACAAAAATTGTAAAATTTAAGAATATTTTACAAGTAAAGAAAAGTTTTTTTTGTATATTTTCTTCGTATAACAAGGTCTAAATCTTACAATGAAAAATCATATCCTTCAATCAAATTTCTAGCGTCCCTTTCATCGACGTTTTCGAAACCAATACATCTGAATAACTCTTTAATTTCATGGATGTTATTTTCTTCTCTAATCTTTAGAAAACTTCTGGTCATATTTTGCGCCAAATTATCTTCATTAAATTATTTTTAGTGACTTAATTCCAAAAATTATCAATGTTTACAGACAATTGCGGACTTTGTTATAATGATGCTTCATTATTACAAATAGCGTTAACTACAATTTAATAATCTAAGTGCCGATATAATTCAAATAATAATAGTTATGTGGTTTATTATTGATTAATCGCTTTTGAGGTAAATAATATAGAAATGAAGAAAACTACATTACTAAAGAATCTTTTAAGTTTAAACGACTAGTGTTGAAATTTTCGTAGGATTTATAAGAACTGAAAAAACAGTAGCTACAAATTTAAGTGATTTATATGTGAGTCATGCCAGACCTGTTAAGCTTTATGAAAGAAATGCAAGACAGCATCGCTTTCTGTGCGTATTAGCTCACTCACGTATTTATGTAATAAGTAAATAAAAGTCCTGTCTGTAATCCATCCCGGATGGGAGTCATTTAATGCGCCATTATAATAAATAAATCTTTCTTCATAAATCTTGGCTCATCCTACCTACCCACTTACTGTATTTTGTTACTAGAGTCGCGCAAATGTGAGATCTCGTTTAAGGTTTACTAGGAGCACAGACAAAGCGAAACATCCTGGCCTCCTCTGTGCATTGTCGCCGCCGCTGTCCTAAGACTATCATTAATTAATTAAAATTTATTCTAATATAATGTCCAGCGCAAGCCCGGACTTCACACAATAAATTTTAATTCTTCAGATTAAATTAACAAGACTTTATTGTTGCCACCAGCGCGAGGCGCAAAGTTCACAGATCGCCCGAATTAAAATGTTTAATTGATTTATGTCACCCAATTATGTGCGTACACCAATTTCGACACGAGACGAACTAATTACAACAGCGACAAGAAATTAAGACAAAAGACCTAACGATTTGTTGCATTGTAATTGAGATTAACATGCAAATGGTGAAGCGGATGCCGAATGAGTACCAGCAAACTTGAAACAAAATTAACATTACTTTGATGATGAGCATTTCTTCAGAATTCTTAATTTATACATTACGTTTCAAATGATTATTTCCGTTCCTAGTAAAAGTGATATAAAATACTTTAATAAAAAAATATATCACGTAAACAAATTTTGGTTAGCTTGTTTAAAATATTTTGCAACAATTGTAGGGAATGTATAGTAACCTTTCCTTTTTTAATATATATGTTCGCAGGTGTAATGTGATTTTTTATAACTGCCTTTGTTCGAAAATATGGTATAAAAATGTAAATACAAATTTGTCCGAAAATATGGTATACATTTCCAAAAAAAATCAAATATAAAAAGATATTAAATTCATTTTATTATCACATAAATACAAATAAATTTAGTGTAACTCAAATTTAGTTAAAGTGAGATTTAACCTTGTTGAACGCTTCTTTTGAACATATACATTTTGTATACATTTCAGTTAATCAACTCTCACGACGAAGGTTTACTTTATTCATATGAAGAAATTTATAGAAATTTTCGCCCTC